GCCGTTTTCTCTTTTCCCCTTTGCCATCTGAGCGCGCACGCCTAGGCCGCGTTCGCGCTGTCGAGCATCCTCTCCGGTCGACGAAAAGGAGAATAGCGGGATCGTTTTCGGGCTGGATCGCGTCTGCAGAAAATCTGAAGGCAAGACCGGTCCCTGGCCACCGTGCAACCTTTTACCGTTCAGTTTTCTTAGCGGTTCTGTACGGTGTAGTAGTAGTCGATCGTCTCCGTTCCAACAGATTCGATTTGGCCGCGCGTTTTCTAGTCTCGCCTCGGCTGGAGGTTCGCGCGGACGCATGCCACTAGGACGGTACGCGTCGTTAACGAACCTTTCGCTCGGTAGTTCCCAATTAACGAGACGCTATCTCACGAGTTTTTTTTCTCTTAACTTCCCTGAGAACGCGGTTAGCTTCTCGCGCGATCGACTCTCGGAATTTGCGTTTCTTCTTTTCTTTCGCGTGCCAACGCAACGCTGGATCGTTTCGTTACGCTTCGGTTCGGTTCGGTTCCGTTCCGTTTCGACTAGGACTTTTCCTTTTTTCCTAGACGAGGATCGCGAGTATTTTCACGATCGGAGAGAACAGTAGGATCGAGATGGAAGCCGCAGTTGGAAATTCGCGCGGATAACTTTCACTTCTCTCGTTGGTTGTTACGTTTGCCCTTCAACGGCGAGGACGTCTTGTCGAGTTATCGAGGTCTGCGTTGTTTCGCGAGATCAACGAGCCAGTAGGCGAGATCTAGTTGAAGTGGTAGGTTAAACGGATTTGCAAGAGGAGCGAGAATTACGAAACGTCCGCGATTCTTCGCACGCGCGGCAAATTTCGCAACGGACGTGTAGCGTTGTTGGCATAAGAATCAGAATCAGAATCAAGGTGGATTTTGAGAGAAGAAGGGCTAAACTGAATCGTGGATACCATGGTGTGCACCACCACCTGAACTCGTACGGCCGCTAGCAACCGTGCAACTATACAACGCACACATCCCTTCTCTTTTCTCCACCTTTCGCTGAATCGCATCGCGAACCTTGCCTGCTACGTAGCTTTCCTTCCGCATACCGAAATTCCTGGGAAACGATGCTCGCCGGCTGGCTTGTTATTCTCGAGGATGATGATATTCTCTTTCGCTTCCGGTTCTGTTTCGCTGGTCCGCTCGTCCGCTCGTCCGCTCGATCGAATCGGCGACGTATTACTCGCGGTCACCTAGCCGAGACGCATGCGCGCAGGTGCGAATGGAATAGGTGCGGCACGGTGCACTTGCGCGACTCTGCTTGACCCAGATGCCTCGCGAATAAAACCCATCCGTGCTCGTTCTTGACATCCTGCCGTTCTCTCCTCCCTCCCCTGGCCTCCTCCTTCCGTTCCCTTTACTACCTCCCCTCTCTCATCCACGATGCCCGTTGGTTCGCGCGAGAACCGGACAGCCGCGATCACCTCGTGGACCGACGTTCCTTCCAAAAGCGGAGCTCGACGGAGAGCTGCGCGAGGTTGGACGTTCGGAATTTCTATCGAAGAGCTGTACGCGAATCGAGACCAAATCGAATTACCAGTAGTTTTCCGCGAGAATTGGAGGTAGGAAGGCTAGAGGCAAGAACCGGCCGGCTAAACGATAACCGGTTATGCGTTTCGCTCGCTCTCCTTCCGTGGAACTCGCCTTCGTTCCTGGATAGCGTTCGCCGCTTTTGCTTTCCTTTCCCCTCGTTCCTCCACATTTCTCTATTACTCCAACGCCCTCGCTCTCGTCCCGATAAACCTAGAGCGTCGCCGTTACGGTTAACCGACGCGACGGCGCCGCGGCGGTAGAGCGATCCGAAACGAACCCGTGCTCGATTACGGCATACCGTAATTCGAACCGTTACCGGAGAAATCGAAACGGTGATTCGCGCGACATCAGCGTCGCGTCCGTACTTGAGTCGTTGCGTTCTCGTCCAACGAATTTCGGTCATGGAACGCACGTACTCGACTTCGAAAGCGAAGAGAGAACGGGGCCTGTGACGGTCGTCGCGGCCTGTCCGCTCTCACCGGATATACCGGATCGAACTCGTCCGCGCGTTCCCCTCGATGACTTTCTTTTTCGCGCGTGGACCGCGACCTCGATCCGATTCCGATCGGCCGTCTAAAAAAGGTTTTATCTCCTTATCCGTTTCCTCTTCGGCGACGCTCTCTACGAGCCTCTCCCGCGATCCTTCTCCTTGCGTTCTCGTCCTTTGTTTTAACGACGGCCACCAGCTTTCTCTTCGCAACGTGTGCTTACGCAACGCCAACTTGCTCGCCGCGCGTTTCTTTCCGTCTGTCGATCTCGAAGAGGAAGGACGCTAGGTTCCTTGGACGGTTCCCATCGCATCAATTCGAACCCGTTAGGCAAAACCCGTTATCGGTGGTATCGCGGCTGGTTGCCCTCCGCTTCCCCTCCGCTTCGGTTCGCTAGAGATCGCCTCGCGCCGGTCTGAACCAAGATCGAGGTGTGTTAGGTTTCAGATCGAGGTGTGTTAGGTTCGATCGGCCACGGATGCACAGAGGAGGATGGAGGATCGATCGTGGCTCTCGTAGCAGTAGCAACAAGGACGGCGCAGGAAGATGGGTAACAACGGGAGTAACAACTCTAGGGAGCGAGGCGAGCAACAGACCGCATCCGTCTGTTCGAACGGCGTGGCCGCGTGTGAGGCGACGCGCGGTTGGTCCCAGTCGTTCCCGCGGGAGCTCGCCAGGCATCGCGGCCAGCCGTCGGCGGTTCGCAAGGTCCTGCCCGAGCCGCCGAGTCAACGGCTGCGCGCCACCGACAACGGCAACATCATTCACAACGGCGGAACTATAAGCGGCCGTAGGCCGACCTTCTCGTCTTCCCGCGATCTCGCCAAGGTAAACTGAACGTGTCTCGAGAACTAAACTCGACAACCTGGATTCTCACCGATCCCGGTCTGGCTGTCTTCAATTTCAGCGTAACGAGCCACCGGCGCCGCCGCCGCCGCCGCCGTCGTCCTCCTTTCGGGAAAGAAGCGGTTCCGCCTCGAACCTCGTCGAACCACGTTTGAGAAGGATCGACCGCCACTGCTGCCGCTACCGTGTCGACTCCGCTAAGCCGGACGGGAACTCCTCTTCGGGCGCCAAGTTGAAGAAGTTCGGCAGCGAGCCCGATCTTCGATGCTCCCCCGAGCCAATTTCTCCTGCCTCCGTTCACGATCGTCGGTCCAGTCCAGCGGGCCACTCGATCGCCACCAGGGAGGATATCCACCGCGTCTACGGTAGAGAGTCGAAGGAACGGCTCGAGAGTAGATACAAGCCTAGAAAAAAGTACAAAG